GGGGGGGGGAGGGGGGGAGAGGCGGTAAGAAGAAGGGGAATGGAAAGGCATGGGCGTGTTCTTGAGAGGGAGAGTGCGCCTATTATATTTTTAACTTATACTATTTATTGTTTAACAGAGTGATTTTCCAAGTGTGGTTCCAGGTCAGGAACATCAGTATCACCTAGGAACTTGATAGAAATACATATTCTCAGACTCCATCCAGACCTATGGAAGTAGAGTCCAGCAGTTTGCATTCTGTGAAGCTGTTAGCCACAGACTAACAGGGGTCCCCTGTAGTTGTGGGGCCCTTTTTCTACCTGGCTCCTTTCTTTCCAATGCCATGCTCTGCCCTGCAGATTGCAGTGATTTTAGCTGCCCAAATTCTTCTCTCTTCCACCTCAGCTCAGCAGGAGCTGTTCAGTGCTCTGTGCTGCTGTCAGGAAGTTTTACTCAGGAAGGGAGCTGAGCATCATGGAGTTCACCTAATGGATTTCCCTTATCTCTGAGATTAGTCATGTGTTGCCTGGTGTCTACTCCTTGAAAGCAGTTGCTTTATCTGTTGTGTCTAGTTTTACAGTCACTTACAGTGGGAGGGATATTCCCAAACCAGTTATTCTGGTCTTGGCCAAAAACAGGAGTTTTGCTTCATTATCACTGATTGTTTGCTAAACATTATATTTGAAAAATTACTTGTAGCAATAATTTGAAGCCAAAGATGATGTTATCTTCCATCAAGAAGAATTTTTATTTATTTTCTACAGGCATTTGAAGATGCTAGCAATCTGAGACCAAGAATTGAGGTTTTCTGACCACTGAGCTGATTGCATTGAGTATAATTCATATCTTTCCTCCCAGAGCACAACTGGTTAGGGTCTCATACCAAAGCAGAAATTCTTTCTCCAGGCAGTTATCTTCTTTACTGTTAATATTTTACTAGACACTGTGAATTATATAATATTAACAGTAATAAATGGTATTTCTCTGGTTAGTTTCTACTCTTCCCTAACCTCTGGAGCTCCTCAAAATTTCTGAAAGTCCGTAAGGGATATCTGATCTTTCCTGCCTACAGTAACTGGTGCCTTCCAGTACCTTTCTCCAGCTACCAGTGCTACCATTGAGAATGCTGATGACCATGCCTAGGGTTCCTGTTCTAAAATGGCCAATGATGCCTCTGGCTATTGCTACTGATGAAACAGTTGCCATCCACTCGGGAAAATTGTTGTGTTCACCATCAACAGCATTAGTGCTGAAGCTGAGTTGCTGCTGATGGCACTGCTGTTGGCAGTGGTATTGTCTCTTTTTTATGTCTTATCATTTTACCTATATTATTGCACTAATACTGCTTTGTTAAAGTGGAAAGAGTGTTTTTCCCCTTCTTTCTGAACCACATGTTCTTCCAATGTCTTAAATAAGTCCCCCCCCCCCAAAAAAAAAACTAGCTTTTTAAATTGTTGCTTGAAATCTTTTCTCTTTTTTTGGACTTATATATGAGTTTTTCAGAGCTGGGAAAAAAAACCTTTATGGCTAATAATAGTTTGTACTAAATACCAAGTAACAGATACAAAAGGATTCACATCCAACTCAATGTATGTCTGAGAAGAGAAATAAATGGTATAGAGGGTAGTGATCAAAAGGACTTCAGCATTTTCTGTAATACTTGTTTGTTTTAGTAAAAACCAAGCTTCAAGAAAATATAGTGAGAATACAGGTATTTATATGTTATTCTTTCAACATTCTTAAAATTAAATAAAATGTTACTTGTGAAGAAAAAAATTATATTAACTTCTATTTTCTCTGCCCTCACTTCTAACAACTATGATTCTGGGCATTGTTTTATGCCAATTTGTTTTTTGTTTTTTTTTTAAATATATTTTATTGATTTTTTACAGAGAGGAAGGGAGAGAGATAGAGAGTTAGAAACATCGATGAGAGAGAAACATCGATCAGCTGCCTCCTGCACATCTCCCACTGGGGATGTGCCCACAACCCAGGTACATGCCGTTGACCCGAATCGAACCTGGGACCCCTCAGTCCGCAGGCCGACGCTCTATCCACTGAGCCAAACCGGTTTCGGCCAATTTGGGTTTTTAATGCTTTATTTTTCTTACAATAAGTTCTTCCCAGGCAGCATCTCAGTCTGTCATACAAAAAAAAAAGATAGATAGACACCCTGTAGTCTGCTCTGACATTCCTCAGTAATATCCTCCTTCTAGTTCTACTTAACTGAATCCTAGTGGCTCTAGTTGTACAAAATAGCAGAATAACAGAAGACAAAGAGGTCTGGGTAGGGAGGAGGAGGTTAGTTCTAAAGAAGTTGACCTAGTTTGCCTAGTATCCCTAGTGGTTCCTGGAAGGGCCAAATGGGATAGACCTAAGCATAATCCAAGTTGTAGGCATAAGGGAAATTCTTTATTGGCAATACTAGATATAAGGGAAGTGTATTTCTTTTTGTCATATGTCTGGATCAGTTCTTGTGTAACAAACAATTCTAAAACTCTGACCTAAAACAACAATCATTTATTATGATACACACATGTATGGTGGGGTGGCTGGGCAGTAGATGATCTAGGCTGGGCATGTTGGGCAATTTCACTTGGGCTCAGTCACCCTGCTGTGGTTTGACCAATGTAGGTTGGGCTCAACTGAGTAAGGACTGTTTTACATATGTATCTCATTTTTCATGGACCGACCGACTAGCCAAAACATGCTATCATTGTAATGGCAGGGGTACAAGAGGGCAGGCTTGACTGTGTAAGTACTTCCACATTTTCTAACCTTTTGCCCATAGCATGTCATATGCCCAAGCCCAAAGTCAGCAGCATGGGGGGTAAAAGATTTAGAATTAAGACGTCAAAAAGGAATCCTGGCATTTTTTTTTTTTTTTTACAATTAAAGGATATTTATAAGGCATCCATCCAAAAGACGGATGTTTATAAACTTTAACAGTGTAGGTATGCAAGTTTTCTAATTAAGAAGGTATATTATCATTTGGAAATACCAGAATATAGCAGTCAATACCTGAAATATCTGAATATCTGAAATATATCTGAAATAAATAAGAGCATCATTATAAATGGTTTCTTAAAATTCATAAATGACCAAACAAGTTAATAATATTTATTTGTACTGCTATGGATATAAAAGATATTCTGAAATTTTAACCAGTTAACTGCCATAAGCATCTATAGACGCAGGCAGTGGACCTTTTTTAATTAAATTCAAAATATCGTGGCAGTTTTAATGAATTCACTTTATTTTTGTTGTTGTTTGTGCTTTTGGTGACATACTTAGAAAACCATTGCCAAATACAAGGCCATGCCCCTAATGTTTTCTTCAAAGAGTTTCATATAGGCTTAGCTCTTAAATTTATTTATTTATTCCTAAAGGTTTTATTGGTTTTTAGAGCATGAGGAAGGGAGAGGGAGGGAGAGAGAGAAACATTGATTGGCTGCCTCCTGCATGCTTAGTACCACCCTACTGGGTGTCGAGCCCACAACCTGGGCATGTGCTGTAACCAGGAATTGAACTGGCAACCTTTCAGTACATGGTACAGTGCCCAACCAACTGAGCCAAACTGACCAGGGCAAATGATTTCCTGAAATGGCTTTTCCAAAACTAACACCGTGCTTCAAATTACTGGACCACAAATTAGGACTTTATTATTTTCTTTTGCATTAATACTCAGTCTATCATGCAAGAATAAGTAAAAGTTACTTATAAATGCAAACCTTAAATATTCTATCTATGGAAATGAAAAAATCTATTTTTGCATTATTTTCTATATTGTTTGATTTGAATTCTTATTTTAAATGTCATCCTTGGGCAGGAGCCATACTAATCTTCTCTGTATTGTTCTAATTTTAGTGTATGTGCTGCTGAAGCGAGCGCTGAATTGTTATTTTAAAAAGTTCGGATCAGTGTCTGAGTTAGAAAAGTCATTTGAGTGGGGGAAAAAAAGGCAGTGACATTAATTTTATGATACTAAATTTTTTCCTTAAATTGAGGCACAGATTATGGAAGTAAAAATTAAAATGCAGTTTAAAATACTAACTTAAGACTTTTGTAGTCTCAATTGCAGAGTTTGGCTTTTAGAGAAGCAGGAAAATGTATGTTAGAGCCAAAAATATGACTTCTTTGGCTGTGACCAGGATTTCCTTTTCCCACCTTGGGGACTAGAAAGTAGTGGTAGGAAAATTTCATTTTGGAGCCAAGTGTGACTTGTTTAGTTTGTCATAATTTATTGCATATACCTCAGGGACCTGAAAATAAAGAAACCCACTATGAAATGTTGATAATGGGCCACTCTGAAGGGCAAGCAGTAAGCTAACTTTCCCAGTGAGGATTTTTTCACTTCCACCTTTCCAGATGCTTCTGATCATTCTATATGGACATACTTAACTGTGTAATAGTTAAGAAGAAACCTTTCTGTGCACTAAACCAAAGTATTTGAGGAGCAGAAAAGTGAACCAAGGCTTTTGCATGATCAGATGTTGGTGGAAAACTATAACTAAAAGAAAAGATGTTTTCTTTTAACACAGTTAAGTCACAGTATAATGGATATCTAAAGCAAATCCTTTGGCCAAGTAGTATGATCTAAAAACTGCAAAAGCCTTCAGCTTTATAATGCAGGCATCCACATCTCAAGTTGATGGCATGGTC